GCCCCCTGCTCTGAGTTTCTATCTGAATTCTCAGAGGTCTGAGCTGACTTAGTGCTCAGATGCAGTCATCATAGTGGGTGGCTTTAATATCCATGTAGATGATGAGAACGACAGCCTTTAGTTCATTGTTAGACTCAGTCGGCTTCTCTCAAAATGTCAATAAACCAACTCGTAGTTTTAATCCTTGATCTTGTTTTGACACACGGCGATCATTTTTTAAACAACATTTGAATTTACAGTAATGCGCTACGGAGCATCTACCAAACAGTTCAATCACAGTAGATGTCTATTCAATACTGCAGTAGCTAAATTTAAGGAAATGGTTCCATTATTATTGACTTCAATGCCAACACAACGGAGAGCTGCTCCTCTGATCTTCGTCCCACACAGGTGGGTCATCTGGTTGATAGAACTGCAGCATTACTGCGTTCATCAATTGATGCTGTTGCCCCATTGAGAAAGAAACCAATAAATTACAATAAAACAGCTCCATGGTGAAGTCAACAGCTGCACATCTTCAAACAGAAATAAAGAAGACTGGAATATATACTGAATGAAGTTAACCTGTTTTTAAAGGTTGGGGTTGAATTTTAATAAACTTCTGAAGGTCAAGCACTGAAAGGACGTGAAGGGAAATCAGTAAAAATGTTACCTGAACACTGGATGTGAGAGAAAATGTAAGGAGGATGTCAGGACATGAAGCAGTGAAATGAGCTGTATTAAGGCACACGTATGTTTTCTATTTAGAGAAGGAGCTGCTGTCAGGGTCCAGTATTAAATGAATGTTTGTTTAAATTAAATCAGCCTGGTTAATAAAGCTCTAATCATGACTTGAAACACTGAAGAGCATCGTTTTAATCCTGAGCCACAGAAATAAACCTCTGATCTCTGGGTGAGGAGGATTTCCTGTGATTCCTTCAGATCTGTTCACAGATTGTGTTTCTCAGCTGAAAGCTCAAACAACAACGTCCACAAAGCAGCTGAGAGGCATTCACGCTCCATTTTTAAAAACAAGAGGGTCAGGACCTCCAACACGTCAGACAGCTGCAGATCGAATTCCTCTGAGGGACCGAACCAGCCGACAGACCCGGCTGTGTTTACCCAACTGTTAGCTGAGCCTCGCTGAGGTGTCGGGACTCCCAGAAGCCTGGAGGGTTTTTAAATGGATGATGACCCGAAACTATGACACAAGACTATAGTCATGAATCCAAAGGGGAAGAAGATGTCACCGAAACATTTGGTGGCAAAATACCTTCCCTCTTATAGACATCAGCCAGAAACACGTCTGGATCATCGGTTTCACAGTGAATATGCTGTTTTAAGGATCCTCCCTGGCCTCCCTCAACAAGGAGGCAAAAGTCAACACCAGCTGCGCACATGAGAACCAAATCAATGAGCTGAACGAGTCTAAAAAGCTCCACAAAGCCGAGAACAGCCCTTTTCATATTACTCTCAGTCATTTATTGTTAAAACTATGTATGAAACCAGAGCAGCATTACAGACAGAAAATCACAGCATGTGTGC